CTTTCTCAGGTTTTAGGTGGAAATTTTTGCCCCATGTTTTGGCACCATTTGTAGTTGACGTTTTCCTGTGTACCCCCCAGCCTGCAGTTAGGACAAATCTCTCTCACCCACCAGTCCTGCAGCCGCTGGGACCCAAGTAAACACACAGAGGCTTATATTATTTACAGAGTGTATGACCATTAGCTCAAGCTTATTACTGACTAGCCCTTACACTTAAATTAACCCATAATTCTTATTTATGTGTAGCCACGTGGCTTGGTACCTGTTCTCAGTTCTGCTTCACATCTTGCTTCCTCTGTGTCTGTCTGGAGACTCCTGACTCAGCCTTCCTCTTCTCAGAATTCTCTTTATGTGCTTATCCCACCTATACTTCCCGCCTGACTACTGGCCAATTGGCATTTTATTTATCAACCAATCAGAGCAATACATTCACATCATACAGGGGAACGACATCACCCATCATGAAACTCGATACCCTGAATCTGATAGAGAAGAAAGTAGAGGATACATTTTAACTTATAGGAACAGGAAAAGAATCTCAACAGGACCCCAGTAACACAGGCATTGAGACTAACAAGCAATAAATGTGACTTCATGAGCAGGACTGGCTTTGAACTCAGAGATTTGCCTGCCTCTGCCTCTCAAGGGCTACGATTAAAGGCATGTGCCACCACCATTTGGCTTTATCTTTCTTCTTAAAGTCATTTTTGCATCTTATTTAATATATGACCAAACATTTGCACAAAGGTGTATTTCAGAGGATAGTCTATGGGGAATGGTTCTCTCCTAAGTTGTGGGTGCCAGGAATTGAACTAAATTATCAGTCTCGGTGGCAAAATCTTTACCCACTGAACCAGCCAGCCAGCTCTTTCTAAAGTTTAGAGATTTTACATGTTTAATTTATTCTGGTGTTCAAATTTTCACTGAATTTAAATGATTATTATTTTTAAATGACTATTGCAATTAATTCACATATAAATACATTACTTAGATTTAAAGTAGCAAGCAAAATAAACACTTGCTTAGGCCCAAATTCTGTGTGTCTCAATGAACTTTGATATGGTCACAATGGCCATTTATTTTAACAACTAAAGATACTTCATGGAAACAGAATCTACAAGATGTTGAAGGGAAAGTAAGGTTGATTAATAATGATTTTTATTTACCCCTTATTTATTATCTTCATCTATTTCAGATATACTCCTGATTTAGCCTTAGGAGCATTCCTGTATTAAGATGAAGTGGATTTATAAGAAGAGCACACTATTTCCTGGAACTTTCTGAAGACTACCTATAAAATTCAGTTTCACTCTAAGCTATGTTTCTGCCAATGGGAGTGATCTATACAAAAAGGTGTCCTTTTGTAAACCTCGCTATAAATCTCCCTCAGTAGAAGTCTCTGGCATTGCTAGTAAAATAGGAGATAACACTTTATAGCAAAAATTCACTCGAGAGATTAAATAAAATATGTCTTAAGCATGCAATAACCATTGTCTCAATACTTAATATATACTAACTGATAAAATGCAAATGATCCTCACAAGTAGCCACAATGTATAAATAGTCTTCCCGCCTGAACATCTTTCCTAGAAACCCATCCTTAGAGGGTAGATTCATGTTAGAAAATATTTCATCTTAATTCTTTGCTCCCACCACCCTTTCTTTTTCTTTCATATAGAAAAAATTAAATTATTTATGCAGCAAGGAAAATTTAGCTTCTATTTCAATGTTTAACACTATGTCAAGAGAAATAGCATTTATATAGGATTTAAGGTTGAAAAGATAATATAAGTTGGAGAGCTCTAATACAGCCTTAGAGCTTTATAGCTAGAAAGACTACATTCTAAAATTACGAGGAACTTCTAAGGTGCCCACCAAAGCAATACTAGAATATGAAATTTCTCGTTAGCTTATGGAGTCTGCTTATTATTGCGAGAAGTTCAACAAGCTGCATTTGACCTCTGGATGAGGTTCTTTTGAGGACAGTGAAGCTTAGTTTAGATTCTATTATTTGCTTCCCTATCTTTCTCTTTTCCTAAACTTTGTAATCAATCTTTCTTGAACATGTCTCCAATAAACATATTATCTATTTTCAGTAAAGCCACATTTGATGTCAAGACTTCTTCAACAACCAGTTACAAATGTCCTTTGCAGTAGTTGGTAATTTAATTTGCCCCTTTATCAGTCAAATCTAGAAGCTTATATTTGACATGCAGGGTTACAATCCTGGGTAACTTTTGACACAGATCATTTGCTAACGAGAATTCAAATCAATGACTTTGGGAGTAAATTCTCTTGTGAGGGCATTTTTGGCAGTGGGGGGTTGTACAAGTATTTTTAATTCACATGTCCTTACTGAAGACAGAATGACTACTGTGTCTGCTCACACAATCCAAAGTACTTGAGAGTCAGGGCATGCATATATGTGTGACTTGATAACTCCATTTCCAACATGATTATGAGACTGAAGCCTATATAAATTCTTCTCTGTGCTCATTTTTTGTTGTAATGAAGAGAAGGCATGCATGTTTGTTTCCATTGAATATAACCCCAGACAAAAGAAGGTAGTCACTACGGCTATAATGCCACTGATGCTTTTTAAAGTCATTGAACATAAGAGTTTGAAAACCTTGAAAAACATGATAAGCGTTTCTTCCTACAAATTATGACCTATTACATCCCATATTACTAATCTACTATGTGAAAAGCTCCAAGTCTGTCATTATGTTTGATTAATTGTTTAAAAATATCATTCATCTAAAACAATTCTATTACATTTTATAGTTAATAGTAGAATATCCAT